TCTTGACATGAAGCCTCCATTTACCCTCCTATACCCTGATAAAAGACTTGTTTACTATTCTCCTTAAAACCTTTGATTGTACTTGCTTTGTTCAGATTCTTGGACCTTATCGTTCCAAATTTGATCCTAAGGCCTCCAAATGTATTTTTCTCGGTTATACACAAACTCAAAAGGGATATTGCTGCTATGAACCCACTTCTAGGAGAAGATTTGTCTCTACAGATGTCACTTTCCTCGAGGATGTACCCTATTATCCTAGGGTTTCTCCTCAAGGGGAGAGTAGTGAGTGTGGGGTTAACTCATCAAAAGCTCCTTTACCTGTTCCATTGAGTGATGAGGGATGTAATGGGGAGGGGTGTCAGAGGTGTCAGGATTTGAGAATCCATCACAGGCGGTGGAGGCAGGTTGATTTCGGTCATCAGTAGTCCAGGCCAGCCCCAGTTCCTTCTGCGGATCCAGATCTAGGTACTACAGTTCATTTATCAGATCCAGGTTCCACTAAGATACCTTCCACTGTTGAGCCCTTACCTCCTTTGGATGACCTTGACTTCCCCATTGCAGTCCGTAAGGACAAACGGCGTTGCACCACATCCACAGCTCACTGCGTTTCCCATTTCTTGTCCTATGATCACCTGCCCCCCTCTTCCAGGTCCTTCCTCACATATATTGTTGATATTCCTATCCCCAGAACAGTGCAGGAGGCCTTGCGAGTTCCTAAGTGGAAAGATGCAATGAAGGTTGAAATGGATGCTCTTTTGAGGAATAATACTTGGGAGCTAGTTGACCAACCTAAAGGGAAGAAACCGGTTGGATGTAGATGGGTATTTACTATGAAACATAATGCTAATGGTTCCATTGAAAGATATAAGGCTCGGTTAGTTGCAAAGGGATTTACTCAGACTTATGGTATAGACTACTTGGAGACTTTTGCTCCAGAAGCAAAGATGACCACTATTAGAGTTTTATTGTCCCTTGCAGCCATACTCTTGGCCCTTGTTCCAGATGGATGTTAAAAATGCCTTCCTCAATGGAGACTTGCGGGAAGAAGTCTACATGTAGTTGCCCCCTGGATTTTATGATGCAAAAATAGGAAAGAAGGTTTGTCAGTTGAATAAAGCCTTGTATGGACTCAAACAGTCCCCCAGAGCTTGGTTTGATAGATTCAGACAAGCCCTTGAAAGATTCGGTTACGTACAAGCCCAATCAAACCATACGTTGTTCATTAAGAGAGTGGACTCTTCCTTGACCTTGCTTGTTGTATATGTGGATGATGTTGTAGTGACAGGGAATGATAACGGTGAGATTGAGTCTCTCAAACAACTCTTTCATCAAGAATTTGAGGTGAAAGATCTGGGAGAGCTACGATACTTCTTGGGTATTGAGGTAGCTAGATCTAAACATGGGATTTTTGTTTCTCAAAGAAAGTATGTTCTAAATTTGTTGGAAGAAACTGGAAAGTTAGGTGTTAAGCCTGCAAATACACCTATTGAACAGAATCACAAGATCAGTGCAGAGGGTGGAAAGCAACTTGAAGATAAAGTTATGTTCCAACGATTAGTTGGAAAACTCCTCTATCTTTGTCTCACACGACCGGACATCAGTTATGYGGTCAGCGTTGTCAATCAGTATATGCACTCTCCTAGGACTACTCACTTATTTGTAGCTGAGAGGATATTAGCATATTTGAAGAGGTGCCCAGGTAGAGGTATACTATTCAAGAATAATAATCACATGAAGATAGAGGTTTATACAAATGTTGATTGGGTTGGGAGTGTTGATGATAGAAGGTCTACCTCTGGATATTGTGCTTTGTTAGGAGGTAACCCGGCCTCCTTGAGGAGTAAGAAGCAAATTGTTGTTTCTTGTTCTAGTGCAAAAGCTGAATACAAGTCCATGGCTAATGGTGTGGCTGAAATCCTATGGTTGAAATCACTATTTGAGTTGGGTATTGCTTATGAGAAGCCCTTAATGCTGCATTGTGATAATCAGGCTGCTATTAATATAGCTCATAATCCGGTACAGCATGACAGAACTAAGCATATTGAAGTAGACCAACATTTTGTCAGAGAAAGGGTTTCATCTCAAGAAGTGTGTCTTCCGTATATAACCTCCAGCATGCAGCTCGCAGATCTTCTCACCAAGGCTGTTCCAAGGAAGAACTTAGAGGCAGAYCTATGCAAGTTGGGAATGACAAATATCTATTCCCGACTTGAGGGGGAGTGTAGAGAACACTGATGTGGACCCCCCTAATGCAGTCCTCACAGTGTTCGTATGGCAACAATATTTCTGTTAGATATGACAGTGTTAGTTGGTAGTTATTTCTTATTCTATTTGCCATGTAAGCAGTAAGGGCAATTCAGACCTTTTACAGTTAGCCAATAGTTATATAAATACTAAGAATGGGTCGGCAGAAATTATGACCTTCCCTCTCTCTTTTCTGAAACTCTCTTCGTGTACCTCTTCTCTTCCTCTCTTCTCTTCTTCTCCTCTTCAATTTTGCATCATTTTTCTTTTTAATTCAAGACTGATTATAGTCTAGATCGACTACTCACCTTTTAAAACACTGCTCACCATACTTGAAGGAATGAAATACAATTAGAAATGGCTACAGTGTCTTTTTTTATGGAAGGACACCTGGTGTGATAACTGGTCACTTATTGCACCAAGTCAACACTCTTCCAAATTCTCAAGGATAAAGGAGCAGTAGTAGAGGCTCAATATGAGATTAGAGGAAATGAACCTTTATGGATCTCAAAAATTCAAAAGGAATATAAAGAGGGAATATGGTCAACATATTACAGAAACCCCAATATTGCAAACCAGTGGTGGGAGCCATAGATACAAGAATCAAGAAGCAAGACAAGTAGGCAATGTTCTGTTATATCTTTTTTAATCACATTTGTAACCCAGGTTGGAGCTCTTTCCCCTGCAAAAGGTTGCCTTCATGATGTGGATAATTGTTTTAGGGTAATGTGTTACCAGGGATAAAATTCATTAGGTATGGAGATACTTGAAACAGGATGGTTCCTCTATGTAAAGTCGACATAGACATTGCATACCATCTTCCATTCACCACTCCTTGCTTCTGCAATATGGTCTCATTTCTGCCATTTAATCCATAGGAGAGTTTGGACAATTTACCATCTTGGAGCGTTTTCCAGTGTTTCCTTCTTTAGGGCAATAACAACAAGAAAACATTCCCCTCATACACCTCCAGTCAAAGTAATATGGTTGGACCCCACAATCCCACATTAAAGCTTTCTACTAGGAAGTAATCCATCTAAGATCAACACTTGTGAAAAATGCAAAATAGAAAGCTGTATTGGGCTTTATCATCCCACATCTTCTTCGTCTATAACACAAGCTGTGAAACCACTAATAATCTGTTAATCTCTTTCCCTTTGTTAGCAGCATTTGGGACCATTTCTTTACTTTTGACTGTAGGTGGCTCCTCCCCACTACCCTTAATAGAGGCAGATGCCTTGTTTGTGACTAGCTGCTTCTCTCCTGGAGAGAAAACGAGGAAAATTCTGTGGAGGTTCATAAAAGCTGACACTTTGGTAGAACATAACTTCAAGGTGGCAATAAGGTGGCTCCAAAACAGCAGCCTAGGACCAAAGTTCAAAATATTGATACAGGCCAATATGTCGGATGAGACGTATCGGCCTGTATCTTTAGTTGCTTTTATTTAGTTTTTCTCCAAACCGGTTCAGGGGGGTCAGTTTTAGGCCCATCTACCGCCCAAAGCAGGTCAGACCCGAAACACTTAGTACAGGGGCGTATCGGAAGGTCACCAATATGATACATATCGGCCAATACGTGACAAAATTTAATCCATGCCGAGGACCTTGGCAATACAACCACACAATCAGGCACATAAAGCAGTTGGCTGAAAGAATGGGTACAACCATCGGGTTCAATGATCAGCTAATGAACTAGCCAAACAATGTGCACAAAGGGTACAATTTTTTTTTTTTTTTTTGATAATTCAAAGGGTACAATTATTTTGGTGAATACCTCATAGGGGATATGCTGTTAAAAGGAAAGGATGTAAAGAATGAGATTATGGGTTAAGCTATCCTATTAATTAGAAAGCACATCTGCTGCAACTGTGGTCAAAGACTCCCTTGCTACCCGCCAATGAAACATTGACAGGTTAGTGATTGAAATAAATTCAAATCATCAATTGAACTGATTTTTAATTTCCACTGCTGGCATGCCCATCTTTCTTTCTTTTTCTTTTTTTTTTTTTTTTTTGGGGGGGGGGGG